TGAGCACACGCGTGGTGCGTGTGCATGCATGTGCGTGGGGTGTGTCTGCCTCCATGTGTGCATGTCTGGACATGAGCATGTGTGGGGGGATTGTGCGCGCACATGGGTGTGTTTATTTGCAGGATGTGTGTGTGTGGGCATGGGTGTCAAACACATGTGTTTGGCGTGTGTGATACCTACATGCTGCTGCAGGTGGGTTGGCCTATGCCTAGTGTGGACATTCGCTCACTTGATTGCCTCAGCATCTCCCCATGAGCAGTGTACACATACATGCGCAAGCGTATTCACACACACACACACACACACACACACACACACAGAGCAAGTCATGCAAACGTGGCGAGTGAGGTGCAGCTATGCACAAGGACTAAAGGTGATATAATGAACTGAAAATAGCTACTATTTCCTGCTTAAAGTATCACTCAGAGCATGAATTTTATTCTCTTCTAACGTTTTTACTCACTTCTTTTTTTTTTTTTTTTTGAGTTTTGAGTAATTAGTTCCCCATAGCTTAAATTTTCAAGGTCTTTGAGATTTGTTTTGGCTTATGTCTTAACCTCCTGCGTTTTAAAAATACATGTTAGAGTAAATTTAGCTAGCGCTCCTGTAACACGCAGAGACCACATACAGCTTCCAGGGTTACGTGCAGGTGCTGCGGTAAGCTTGTTCCACGCTCAGTCCCAGGTCTTCAGGTCAGCTTAGCATGGTGTCTGGCACCCTCACAACCATGCACAGGCTGCTAGTACAAGCAGCTGTTTAGTATTAGTATATGTTGTTATCATACAGAAGATCGCAACTGCACGTGGAGGGGCTTGTGCAACCAGTCCCACCACCTCATTGCTGCCTGCAGGGAGCTCAGCAGAGAAACATGGGAGCGTACAACTCGCATTGTTTTTCAGCCGTGGAGGTGGGAGCCCCGGCTCTGCAGATATCCACAGGCTTCATTACGCAAGCTCAAGCTCACAGACTAAACTGAGCATGAGCATGAACAGATGCTGGGGTGGCCCTCTCTTTCAGCTCTTTACTGTACCATACATCATATGCACACACAGCCCAAAGCCATGCCCTGACGTGTATTCAGCCAGCAGTGCCCAAGCAAGGCCAAACATACATAGACCCCTGCAGTGCTAGGTGAATGTTGCATGTCTCCAAATGTGCTTCCCTTTGCTCGGTTTGCATGCGCGCCCTAGAAGAGTGGCAAGGAGGGGGTTGGTGGCCATGAGACCCCTTGCACCTTTGTTAACACAGTCCTGGGCAGGTGCAACAGTGTAGCTCTCCCAGCTGCATCCATGTAGGTCTTGGACAAGTAGTATTTTAGCCAAATAGTAAAAATGTGATGCTTGAAAACTTTAGCGGACAACATACTCTGGTGGGCTCCTGACAGGTGAGTTGTGCTTGGGGACATCTCAGCTGCTAACTTGGGATGCAAATGGTCTCAAACAGGACCCCCTTCCCCAATTAGATAACCAGGGCACATGCTCTCTCTGAGCAATAGGTCCAGGTAGGTGTCCTATCTGAACTTGAGCGTTTCCAAATTCAGAGGGGAAAAAAAGTTCCTGTCACCCAAAACAAGTAGCAAAACCTAATCTTGTATGATTTGTTTGGCAAGCCACAAAAAATGAGCTGGGAATAACTAAAATAAACCATAGATGGAGTATAATTCATCCACACAATTCAGCACCTACTTCTGTAGTAAAGAAAGAATAGGATGAGGGCACAAACAGCTGATCCAGCAAGTAAAGGGCTACATTAGGAAGAAATCACACAAATGGAAGTGCTACAGAATTTCAGGTACTCCAGGGGCATCTTTCTTGGATCTGCTTCCTTTTAGTCACCAGCTAGAATTTAATAGCGACTATGTTGCTGCATAAGTCTGTGGAGCCAGTGCTCCACCCAGCAGTGAAGGGCTCTTTGTCTGTTAAAGTCGGTAGGATGAGAGATGGAGCAGTTGCACCTCAGTCCCACTGCACTGAGCTGTCCTGAAAAGGGTTGTTTTTTCCTCCCCATGCTGTTAGAAATAGCTCTGTCTGTCTAATAAGCATGTCTTCTTCCACAGCAGAATCAGTCTCGATGTATAGGCTCACACCCATCTCTACACTTTAGCATCTTCCTGCACCCCTTCTGTTTAAAACACTGTATATACATATGCATACATATATATATATATATATATATACACACACATATATATATAGGATGAGCATGCATTTATGAAACCACAGCCATGTACACCTCCCTGCCCCATTATAAAGAAAAGGCTGCCAATGCTTAGTGTTGCAGGATGAATTTAAAACAGCATCCCTGCCTTAAAAGCCTTCCAGAAAAGGAAAAACCCATAAATGAGAGGATGAATGAGAAGATGTCAGGAGTGTTAGCACTTAATATTCCTGGAGCGAGTCTGCATTATTTGTTGCTGCGGCAGAGCACTCCCTCCCTGCTCCCTCTGACCGCCCCATGTGCATGCGTACACACACATGCACCCGGGTTCGTTTCCCACCCTTATGAAAAAGCAAAGCCTCCCTGGCACACCCTGCGCACTTGCCCTGGAGGTGCCATGCCACAGGGCCATAAACGTTACAGTGAAATCACCCTTCATCCCAATGGAGAAATAAATAATTGCAGTGCACCCCCTGGGAGGGGAGGCATCCACTGATTGGGCCCATGTTTTATTGATTGGACCGCTGTGATGAATCAGCCCCTGAGGAGCCGGTGTCTGGCTGCAAACAGACACTCGTCAATGTGCAGAATTATAACGAGCCCTGGCATTCAAGGGCCACCCCAAGGTGGAGGCAGAGCAGGGAGGTGGCGGGCTGGAGGCAACTGGAGCTCGATGGTGCAGAGGTGTTGGCCAAGCTGCCATGCAAGGCGGAGAGCGTCTTCCAGCGAGAAGGCCGTGAGAGGTGGGATGGGCCCCGTCGCCGTGGGAGTGCATTTCCCCCTTACTCCAAGCCTGGTTTCTCTGAACTGGGTGTTGCTTTGGGAAAGTTGCACAAAGTCAGAGCCTTGCACAGGAGGGGAAGCTGGAGGGGACCTGGTGGGCTTGCTGGGGAGAAGCTCTGGGGAGCTTCCAGTTACACCAGATCAAGCTTCACCCAAGTCCTCACCCATGATGTCCTTCCCGCTCTGTAGCCCCAGCCCCTTCCTGCAGGAACAGCCCCAGAGCCGGCCCTGCCTTTTAAGTGTACAGCTACATTCTTGTATAACCCTGCTGTCTCCACCCCTCATGTAATCTTGAGCTCTTTTCTCTTCCTTCTCGCACCCTGCAGGACCCGGCACGGGGAGAGTAGACAGCGGCTCCATGAGTTTGGCCGTCCCACTGTGGCTGCTGGCAGCATCCCTGCTCTGCCTACTCAGCAAATGTTAATACAAATCAGAATTTAAAATAATAATAATAATAATAATAATAATAATAATAATAATAAAATCAACACGACGACGACAACAACAACACACAAAACAAAATGCGTTATACAGGAGACAGAGCAAAGAGAAGTGAGAGAGAGAGAAAGAAGGAGAGAGAGAGAGAAAGAGAGAGGACTGTTTCTTTCACAACTTTTGTGTGTTCAGGAGCGAAGAGGGGGGAGAGGAAAAATCACAGCAAAGACGACTCAGCAACATTTATTCTGAATTCTGACAAGCCAGCTGTCATGTCATCGACTGTCTAGGAGGCAACACGAAGCGAGAGAGAGAACAGGGTACCAGCAAGGATTGTGTTGCCGGAGGACGCTGCAATGTAAACAGACCAGCAAAACCCACAAAGCCAATCAAACAGAAGATCCCTTTTCTTTTCTCTCCTCCTTCCTCTTTTCCGTAATTCCTCACCTTTCTTCCTTCATCTTATTTCTTTCTTCTGCTGAAAGCAGTCTTTGCTTCGGTGATTGTAGCCACTTAACGTTTTGGATGCCCTTGGTCATTTTTGTGAGCTGATGCTCAGCCAGTTCATACTTCTGCAAAATAGAAAACAAACTAACTAAAAAAGCAAACAAACCCAGAGCAAGCCATCTGAAGCTCTCTGCACACTGGTGTCCTGTGAAGAACCCCTTCCTCTCTTCAGTTCATCCTGTGCACCAGGCCCTTGCTATATTCCTTCTTTCCTGTACCCTCCTCCATGCAGCACCATGCTCTCTGGCCTGAACTAAAGCTGTCAACTATACTAAAAGCATATTTTTATTTTTTTTAAATTCTCTTCCTCTCCCCCTCAACCTGAGCAGGTGTCTTTCTCTTTCTCCAGTGTGTATATCTGTGTGTGTGTGCGTGCATGCATGTGTGTGTGTGATGCGCGCTCTCTCTCTCTCTCTCTCTCTCCTCTCTCTTTCTTTTTCTCTCTCTCCCTTGCTCTTACTCTTGCTCTCTCTAAGCATGCAAAAGGAACAGTCCATGTGTACATATGCTCATCCTGCTGTAGATAATGTCCTGCCTTGTAAGTGTGAGACACGATGCTGAGAGATCACTCAGGCAGAGAAGAGGGGTGAGGAGAGCGGGGCAATTGCGACACAGATTCCCACGGCGTTCCCTCTCCAGCCTCCTTGTTGGCTTTTTGACTCCTGGCCCTCTTGCTCACAAGAGTCAGTCTGCATCCTTTTTTAACCTTTTTTTCTCTCCCACCAGCACCTGCCTGGCACTCAGCCTTCAAGTATCAGCGTAGCAGCTTCTGCTACGTACGAGTGCTCGCACATGTGTATGTGGGTGTGTGCATGTGTGCATTTGTCCAGAGAAGGAAAAGAAAGCGAGACTGGCCTGCAAGACCATGGACAGCAGAGTGCAAGTGCCCACTCCTCCTGGGAAAGGGAGGCTGGGCAGGTGCAATATGAACGATGAGAGCTTGGACATCGCTGAGCAACCATTCCTGTAGGTACAGCATGCATAGGAATGGTGCCTCAGTGCGAAAACCACAATGTGGTCATTCCTAACCATTTGGTATAGATGCAGAAATAGAGCCAATACCCTTTTCTATTGTTGTTCTTCTGTCCTCCCTGTTACAAAAGGAAAAGTAGTCTATGTAAGGGTGAGAGCGTGTGTGTGCATGTGTGTGTGAGTGCTCACTGCTGCTGCTACAAAGCTCACTTCACAAATCACTCATTTTAAACAAATTGGATCAGAAATTTTCCAGGACCTGTGAATGTAAGAATAACAGCAAATATCAGGTCCAAAATCCTGGGCTTAGGGAGAAGGCTCTTCAAGTGGTGCAGTGAAGAAGTAGGCAATGCCATTCCCCTTGCTTTTCTCTGGTCCTGTCTGCGGAGCACTGGTCTTGGTGGAGAAGGTTGTTGCTTGCCATCACCCTCCCCATGGCAGAGCTGTGCATGGAGGTAACAGCCAGAGACGCTCTAGTAACTCCTGAGGGGCAGAGCAGGTCTGAGAGCAGGCCACCAGAAGCAAGGGTAAGAAAAATAATGACTGGTGGCTGGAAATTGCCTTTCCAGCAACAGGTCTTCTGTGGGAGACGGAAGGAGCAATGCAGGACGGTGAAGCCAATAGGCGCATGCTGCAGTGCACTGGTGCAGGAAGGGGCAGCGGGACAAAGACTGTCATGTTTCCTGCCTAGAGTCACAAGCCCGAGCATCTGCAGCAGAAAAACTGATAAAACCTGCATTTTAGTAGTAGTAGTCTTTTTTTTTTAATGGAGGGGGCAGGGAGGAACTGGGGTTAGCCAACAGAAATCGCCTAATGACCCCACAACAGTACAACGGCCTACACGTGTTTGACACCACCAAGTTTTTAAGACCCAACAAGTTTTTAAGCACCAGCATGCTTGCTTGTCTGGCTTTGCCCTGTCAGTCTTACAGTGGCAATGTGCTTGGCAGCCAGGCTCATGCTTTCTTGCAGATAGGGTGGAAATAGCTCCAGCCCACATCCAGCCCTGAGAAGTGCAGGGAGGGGTAATGCACCAGGTGATCCCTGCCAGGATGGAGAGCGTGAATTGCGCTCTGAGAGCTGGGGTCCATCTTTGCCCAGCTCAGGCAGACGCTACAAAGATGACACTGCACTTGAGTGCTGGTTCAGCAAAGCTCTTGCACCTTACTCTGTGGCGCTGCCCATGCCTGCCCCCACACCCCAGCCTCTGCTGAGCTCAGCTGTTTTTGGGCAGCAGCAGCAGGCAGGCAATTAAGTTGGCAGCCAGAATGAGCGAGGAAATATTAAAGGAAGATAGACATGAAAGGCTGAGGTGTTGGTGATGGCAGGCTTGGCTATAGTTTTCCTGCAGTGGATTTGGATGTTGGAAGCTATGCTCCCCTTCCTTGTCTCCAAAATCATATCTAGGAGTGTTTGTGCTGTGATGCAAGAGGTGAGACCTGGGCAACTTGAAAGTGTTTGAAATCCACCAAAGGGGCCTCGGGATGCAAGGTGGTTCTTCCCAGCCAAGGCAGGTGTTGATGGGACTTGGGACTGCGCCTTAGGAGACTGACATGCTAGGGCCCAGGAAAAAAAAATGCCCTGCATCCTTCACAGTATCCAGACACCCAAGTCCTCGTTCCTACTTTTCAGGAGGGCTGTGTCATTTGATGTCTTAGAAATAACTCCAGATCCCCTGCTGCAACAGCGCTCCTCTCCCGCTTCAGCTATCTCTGCACAGCTGCAAGTAGGTACCGTTCCCAGAAGCTGGGGCTGGAAGCTGTCCCTTCGCCAGCAGCCTGGCCCAAGGGAAAACACAGCATCGCTGACATGTCTCATTCTCAGCACTGTATCTGCACCTGGATTTATTGACGCAAGCTCGTTGCCAGGAGGTGGGCAGCTTGCAGTGGCTTGCTATCACAGGGCTATTCCTGGGTTAAGCCCCCGTTTTCTTTAAGCTGGGGTCAGTGTCGAGCTGCTTGTTGTTGTAAGGTCTGTCCTGCATGCTGTCCTTCAAATGCGGTTTCGTTACTGTAGGGTCACTCCTAGTCATGAGGCTGACTTGCATCTGAGCATGACTGGCCTGTTGGTCACAAGTGCTGAGTTCCAGACAGCTCCTTGTGCTGCATCTTTTCTAGTTTGGGTATTTTGAGGGACTAGCAAAGCATATAGGCTTTTGGTTTAAAGAAAAAAAGCATATTACTAAAAACAGGACACCCAGTTTTTGAAGCCATCTACCTAGTAGCTAGAGCAAACAGCTACAACCCTGACATGCAGTTCTAGTCTTGCCTGCAGGACTTGGGCAGATCTGTGCCTCAGTCGCATGTCTGTGAAACGGGGTTAAAAAGGCAGCTATTTGCAGACCTGACTGAGAAAAGCCACAAATACAAAGTATGACTGTTATCTGCAGCAGTGCTGGGAGTCCCACTCTTGGAAATGTCTTTTCCTAGCAGGGCTGAGGAAGCCGTGGGTAGGTTGCAGCTTGATTTACTCTCAGAAGCTAATCCTGTGAGCTCCTGTGTGCGTCACAGGATGCTACGAACATCCCCATGTTTCTCCTGAATTCAAGCAGGGTTCACTCAAAGCATCTGTCAAGATGAGAGCTCGAATGACCATGGGAAACACAGGCAAGGTCAATTATTTCTCTCCATTCTCTTTCTCTCCCACCACCCTTTGATGGAAATGTTGCAAAGATATTTCTCATGTCTCAGGCCCTTTTCTCTAAAGCTGTTTCTCCTCCTTGTCTCTACCCTGTGTTCATGGTCCTGTCCTCCCCATCCCCTCCAGAAAAGCTGTGCTCCTGCTTCCTGCTGCCTCGGAGCTGGCTGGGGAGTGGGGGGAGAGGGGAGTTTGAAACGGGACACCAGTTCCTTGAGCTTGTAGGTGTAATTGTGTTTGATTGATGGAGGTTTAACATTTAGTGTTATAAAAACAAACAAGCAAAAAACAAAAAGAGGAAAAAAAATGTATTTCTTCTACCAGTTTGTAAATATTACGAGAGTTACATGAGATGTCTGGTAATGTCCAAGCAGGGGAACAAAGACTTAGATTTAATGTATGGCCCCATACTTGCTAGCAGATTTCTAACCCTTTTCAGATGACCGAGAGGAGGGGCAAAGGCAAGTCTTTCTGAAAGGGACAGTGGAAATACAGCTACCTTGAGCCACAAGAACTCCATGCATGACTGTAGCATGTTGTTTGGAGCGTGTATCTGGTTAGCTGAAAAATGAACTGCTGGGAAGGTGACGTGAGAATCTCCAGCCAACACCTGCACCTTAGCATTTGTGCTCATTTTTGTGTTTCCAGCTCCGCAGCTTGCGGGTATGTTGCTCAGTGATGCACCCCTGCTTTCTTCACCAGTGAAGTTGTGTCACCCCATGCTAGCACCAAGTGCATGTTAACGTGCCATTCATGAAGACTTCATTGGTGACATGCATTGTGTCGAGAGTTAGTCTTTGTCTGCACACCTTTCTCATGCCACTGACTGTTCATGGTTTGGGCAGATTCACTCGTGTACGGCTGCCTGCCCCGATTTGGAAGAATATCCAAGCCCCATCAACTCTTCTTTGCCCCAGATGCACCCAGGTCATGCCCCCAAGCCACCTGAGGAAACCACTGTGTGAAAATGCAAACCCACAGCTTGGACAAAGTTGCCATCAGTAGCTACACAGTCTCCAGGCTGGGTGGAAGCTGCACATCTGGAAGGAAGTTGGGGATCAACAGTGAGTCCTGACGATTCAAGAGCATTTGGGGAAGAGGAGTTGGAAAATTGCAGGAGCTACTGTTGGTGTCCCTCGCAGCCCTGCCTCCAAGTGGTGTTTCAGTTTGATCTTTGTGTAAGGCTTTACTGCTTCATCCTTTCTGATGAGGGAATCTAGAGGGACAGGGAAACCACTCTTCTCCTCCCAAGCCTTCTCACGCATCTGCTGCCTCTGCTCTGAGCACACTGACCCACAGACCAAATCGTCCTGGTATGTGGCACAATGTAGCAACCAACACCAAGGATTACCAAATGAGACAGTCCTATGGAGGAGACACTAGGGGGTGGGCAATTCTTTCTCTCTCTCTCTTCTAATGGTGCACGATCTGACTGCTTTTCTGATTTGAGGACATAAA